ATGATTTGCTTACAACGTCGGGCTCATGCCATTCGGGTAAGTGCAAGAAGCGCCATCTCGTGACACATATATTGACCGTACCATGATAACAGGCAGGCGACAGATATCCACATCCAAGTGTGGCTTTAGGCCACCTCATTCCCCGCCGGTGGCTTCCAGCCCCCTTCAGCTCACTCCGGCAATAACCCTTCCGCGACCGAAAATAGTTCTTTTTGTTTACGTATTTTAGTAATCCTAAAACAAGTTACCATGTTATATGCCGATTGTATACCCATAGGCTTAGATAGAGCATTAAATATGAAAAAAAAAAACAAGACAAACCAGTACCACATATATAGTATTTGTATGACGGGGGCCTAAGGCCACCTATATAGTATTATAATAATAGAATAGTGTATGGGGGCCCAAGGCCACATATATAGTATTTGTATGACGGGGGCTTAAAGCCACCTATATAGTATTGTAATAATAGTGTATGCTGGGGGCCCAAGGCCACATATATAGTATTTGTATGACGGGGGCTTAAAGCCACCTATATAGTATTGTAATAATAGTGTATGCTGGGAACCCAAGGCCACATATATAGTATTTGTATCACGGGAGCCTAAGGCGACCTATATAGTATTGCAATAATAGAATAGTGTATGATAGGGGCTCAAGGCCACATATATAGTATTTGTATGATGGGGCACTAAGGCCACCTATATAAAATTGTAATAGTAGTATATGATGGGGGCCCAAGGCCACCTATATACATAGTATTTGTATGACGGAGGTCTAAGGCCACCTATATAGTATTATAATAATAGAATAGTGTATGGGGGCCCAAGGCCACATATATAGTATTTGTATGACGGGGGATTAAAGCCACCTATGTAGAATTGTAATATTAGTGTATGGTGGGGGCCCAAGGCCACATATATAGTATTTATATGGCGGGGGCCTAAGGCCACCTATATAGTATTGTAATAATAAAATAGTTTATGATGGGGGCCCAAGGCCACATATATAGTATTGTAGATGACGGTGGCCTAATGCATTCTATATAGTATTGTAGTATAGTGTATGCTGGCAGCCCACCAAGGCCATATATATAGTATTGTGTAAGAAGGGGACCCAAGGCCTCCTATATAGTAGTGTGTGGTAAGCCCCTGGTTGTACGCTATACCGCCTCCAGCAAAGATAAGTAGGCGGAATCACTTGCACAGTGTATTATTGCGCCAGCGGTGCCCTAGGCCCCCGGTGGCTAACTTGGATGTGGATATCTGTCGCCTGCATACGCAGCCGGGACCTTACATGCCATGTATTTCTCCTATTTCTTAAATGATGTCAACTGATGGAATATTATCATATAAATCTATGATAGGATAACTCCTCTTCATTTTAAATGCATAAACTTTGCAAAATACGATGTCTCTCGGGAGATATTGCGCATGCGCGCGCACCGTGTTAAGCGTGCAGTGCTGTCTGGGGCAAACTTGGGAGACTGAGCAAAGGCGGCAGGAAAGATAGCTGGAGGCGGTAGAAGAAGAAGGAGGCTGAGCGAGGAACAGGGGAGGCAAGGGGAAGGACGCGAGGGCATAAAGTAGGTGTTTTGTACCCTACATGCTAGAGCGCTCTCGTAATTATAAACACAGGTCCACTGATAAATGTTTATTAGGGAAATCCATGCTGAGATACCCCCTAACTATTTTAAATGCATATTCATTACAAAATACAATTCCTCTGGTGAGATATTGCGCATGCGCTAACACACTAACGTAGCGAGATTGTGTACTGGCTGGTATACGCAGCCGGGACCTTACATGCAAGGTCTTCCTCCTATTTCCTAAATGCTGTCTACAGATGGAATGGTATTATATAAATGTATGCTAGGATAAGTCCTTTTCATTTTAAATGCATAATCTTTGCAAAATACGATTTCTTTCAGAAGATATTGCGCATGCGCGCGCATCGTGTTAGGCGTGCAGTGCCGTCTGAGGAGAACTTCATAATATAGCTTACTGCGGGGGAGAGGGGATGGGAGACTAAGAAAAGGCGGCAGGGAATATACCTGGGGCGGTAGAAGAAGAAGGAGGCTGAGCGAGGGACAGGGGAGGCAAGGGGAAGGACGCGAGGGCATAAAGTAAGTGTTTTGTACCCTACATGCTAGGGCGCTCTC